TACTTCACACACAGGCTGCTATTGGCATCATTGCCCTATCACACTTGAATTTGTTCTATGGCACTTATCTATATTGTTTTCTCCTGACTAGATCCTTGCTTGTGTTGTATCTGCCCTCAGATGTACGATGGTTTGGATAAAAGCAAATGAAATTGTAGAATTGTAGAATGAAGAAGATGGTGGGGGAGCAGATGGGTTTGGGGCAGTCCTGAGGTAAAGGGACAATGGAAAGAGATTCCATGCCGGCTAATGACACGGCCAATGAAAAGTGTTGGACTGAGGACGGACCCTTGGGGGACACCGCAGGTGACAGGAAGTGTCTGGGAATTAGCACCTCCCAAGCTGGCGTACTCGGTCCTTCCACAGAGGTATGACATAAACCAGTCCAAGGCAGTATCAGAAAGTCCTGTGTCAAAGTGAAGGCGATTGAGGAGGATATGGTGACCAATGGTGTCAGAAAGATAAAATAACTCCTAAACTGGTGATTCTTTTGCCGTAGGTGTGAGTGTGAACTAGCATGGTTGTCTGTCTCTTTGTGTTGGACAGTAAAATCTGTCAGTGACAACAAAACACAAAAACAGTTGAAGTGATTTTATTGTTGGGGCTGAAAATTCCTCACACAAGCAAACAGTGATGTTGAAGCTGGATATTATCAGTATTTTATTGGCAAACCAGAGAGAAGTTACCAAAAATAATTAACTGAAGGAACTTAGTGTACATGTCCAAATATGCTACAATATATACTATTATTAGTACAAAGATCACTAAGAAAACTTTCAGGTGTATTACAGCACTGTCGTCTGATCTGAACAAACTATTTCATGTTCTGGTTCATTTGACCGCCTGCTTTCCTCTGACTGACTGATGATGAATCAGCTTTGGCTAATGCGAGTATGCTACACGAATGTTCCGTCTTTTTCCTCGAAGTGCAAAGTCTTACATTTGTTTAACAGCAATATAAATGTCAGACAGCTGTAAAACACAAGGTTTGGGATTCACAGTTTGAAATTGAGATTTTTGGCCAAAACCAGAAAAAAAAAAGTTCAAACTAAGAGATTTTTAATGTCAAATATGAAGCTTTACGTGAAAATAAATGCAGACAAAGTGAATACACAAAATGTAAAGCAGTTCTTTTTGTACAAAATTCACAAATTTTCAGGCCTGATGAAGATGAGTTTGTCCAAAAACATCACTTGTTGCCTTTTTAAGAGCAACATGGAGATACGGAGAAATTATTTGTTGGCAACATGTAGCAGATGTGCAGGAGAAGGACGACCAGTTCCAAATGTAGCTTTTAAATGGAGGCTTGGATGAATTATCAGATTTATTGAGCAGTTCTGAAAGCAACCAATTCATCACCAAACAGTAATTGCATTACATATGCGAGGTGAGTCGGAGGCGTTCCAGGACTGGTGTCACAAAACATATGTTTCAAAGTTGCATCAAACTATAATGTGAGTTTCATGTGGATGACATGGGTCATAAAAAACACAAGAGATATATCATTATAAAACTTCTACGGAGGGACACTAATAAACACAAGCTTTTACTCTACACCCTTAAAAAGTAAACTGTGGAGATTATATTTGCTCAGTAGGGGTAGCTATCACCGTGAAATATCCAAGCACAGGAGTTGGCCTTTAGAAAAATGTGCTCTGATTTACTCTGTCCATTAAAAAAAAACAAAAAAAAAAAAAAAAAAAAAACAGTGGTACATCTTTAAGTCCAGGGGGGAAATATAAGGCATCACTTAGTCTGTGCCTATTTTGACCAGAAGGAGAAATCCAGTCAAGTAACACAGACATGCTTACACCCTCTTCCAAATGGAAACTACTGCTGTGCACAGTGCAATAATACCATTAAACCTAATACACATACAAATAATATATTTTCCAACAACAGCGTCATTGGTTGTGCATCACGTGTTGGGGGGAAAACCACTAGAAATATAAAACAACAGATTGGTGAGCATAAAAGCACAATACACTGGAATGATTCTGATAATCCCATAGCTGTACATTTCAGTGACGCCCATCAGGACATCTTGTCATTGGTCCTCTGTGGGATCAAACATTCAGTTCAAATCCATTCCACTTTGTTTATTTATCACCAATTCACAACATACTGTATGTATGCATACTGTAAATGTTATCTGCATGTTCCCCTTTTTTAGCTAAACATATATTCGTTGAGGTTTGTTGTCCAGTTCCAGACAGTCTGGGGTTACTCATAATTGACCTGATAAAGCACCAAAGCATTGCAAATAAATGTAGTTTTGCAAGTTAGACAGTGTGCGAGTCTTTCTGAAAGCAGGAGTTTGACCTTTTAGAAAATATGTTTGCGTTTTTAGCTGAGAAGACTGACAGTACTCCCAGATCTGCTAAAGCCACGTGGTGGTTTTACACTTCAGATTACACAAATAATTAGCAGGTCCATTGTCCACCTTTATGATAAGCTAACTAGTTACCTATATTTAACATACAGACAAAAGATTGATATGAATCTATCTGAACAAGACAAAGCTGCAAGGAAAAGGCTTCTTTACCAAAATATGTTAAGAAAACATGCTGGAACTAAAGTTTTCTGTACAAGCATCTAATCCCAACTTAAACATTCAGAAATTATCGAGTTGGTTTCTGCTAAACTCAGAAGCATCATCGAATGGTTTGGCTCCACAGTCACTGTTGTGATTGCTAAGGTTTTTTGGATCACGGGAATCCAGCTGCTCTTTTTCTCCCAAAAATTAAACCAAGGTGCAAAACTTGAGCACGTTAATGTTTACTAGGTTCTGCATTAAAAAGAGGACTTCCCAGACAGTGGTAGTGTCTATCCTAAGGTCAGAGAAAATCCAACATCTAAGGGGAGCAGTCAACAGTGTTGTGAGTTTGTGGCAGACAAAAATCACAAATAGAATCATCAAGAAAGTTAAGATTAAACCAGCAGGTTGTTAATGTGTACAAATGAGGACAAACACTCTTCTATCCTGCTGCTGCATAACATTTTTGAGGTCCTCTCCTCTAAGGCTTTTTTCTATTTACATTGTAGCACCCAGATTCTACACAAGCATTCACAAAGGAAGGTTTGACATTAACCTGTAAATACAAGGGACTATTTCAGTCAAGATCTAATATTTGATCGATCTGGAGTTATCTCTTACTGTGTGACATGCAATATGCTCACAGGATGGTTGCTGAAACACGGTCTAAAGGTGCTTAAAATCTGAAAGATCTATTTTGAACTGGAACAAATTTTCACGCTTAGGTCCTACAGGTGATTCAAGACTACGACTTCTCACCTGTGAGTGAAACTTTTCCCACATGTTCCACAAGAATGGGGCTTCTCACCTGTGTGGATTGCTGTATGCCTTTTAAATGCTGATGAGTCAGAGAACCTTTTCCCACACATGTTACAAAGGTATGGTTTCTCGCCTGTGTGGACTCTCATGTGCTTTTTTAAAGCTGACATGGAACTGAAGGTTTTCTTGCAGGTTTTGCAAAGGTAAGGCTTCTCACCTGTGTGGGTTCTCATGTGGACCAGCAAAACCGAGTTACTTGAGAGACCTTTTCCACATATTTTGCAAGAATAGGGCTTCTCACCTGTGTGGATTGCCGCATGCTTTTTATATGTTGACGAATCTGTAAATCTTTTGCCACAAGTGGTGCAGAGGTATGGCTTCTCACCTGTGTGGGTTCTCATATGGACCAACAAAACTGAGTTACTTGAGAGACCTTTTCCACATATTTTGCAAGAATAGGGCTTCTCACCTGTGTGGATTGCCTTATGCTTTTTAAATGTTGATGAATCAGTAAATCTTTTGCCACAGGTGTTACAAAGATATGGTCGCTCACCTGTATGAGTTCTTATGTGGATAGTCAGATTACCACTTTTTCTGAAACTCTTACCACACATTTCACAAGAATATGGCTTCTCACCTGTGTGAGTTCTCTGATGATATTTCATTAAATAAATTTCATAAAACCTCTTCCCACAAGTGTTACAAGCATATGGCTTGTCACCTGTGTGGATTCTGTAATGTTTTTTCAAGTGGTACTTGTCCTTAAAGGCTTTTCCACAAACATCGCATTTTATAGGCTTCAGCTGAAACTCTGCATTTGTAAGTGATCCTGTGTCTACATGCATGCTTCCTCCCTGATTTAGGCCCTCAGCTACAGGAGAGCTGTGAGAGAGAAGCTGGTCACTGTTTGGTTCTGTTTCACTGTGGTCACTTTCCTCACAAGAAGGAGTCACCATAAAGGTATCAGTCTCCAGCTTCACTACAAGAACCTCTCCCTCCTGACTGGTGCAGAGTTCGTCCTGTTCCTCTTTAATCTGTGGAGGCTCTGAGTCCTCCAGATCCCGACTGGTGCATAGGTCCTCCTGTTCCTCTTTAATCTGTGGAAACTCTCGGCCATCCTGGTCCAGACTGGTGCAGAGCACCTCCTGTTCCTCTTTAATCAGTGAAGACTCTGGTTCTTCCTGGTCCAGACTGAAGTTGCTCTCCTGTTTACGGAGCTGCCGGTCATCAAGAACCTCTTCATCCTTACGGACATCTTGTTGTGGGAGGTCTTGAGGGACAAAGGGACACAAGAAAATGATTATGACTATGATGACAGGAAAACATGAGCAAATGTTTTTCAATTTAAACCATTAACAAGGCTCTACAGTGTGAGTATATCACTCTAATATGCAATAAAAGTGTGTAAAAGTGACTATTAATTTGGGTGCACCAGTGTGAGCTACACTCTTTTTAGAGAAGCTCAGTTTGCAAAACATCCAAGCAACAGCTTCCCACTTTCAGTCAGTGCTGTAGGTAAAATGACAATCTGCAGGTCAAATCAGGTGTTGCTCACCAGTCTAGTTTTACGTACCTATTCTGTGTAACTTTACTTCCGGTTTCTGGATGATATTAAGAAGTTTGCGCTGACGGTCAATTTCTTCCTCATACTGGACGACTGTTTTTACAAAGACTCCGAATATTTCTTCACATTTGGACTTGCATTGCACCAGCATAAATGTATACGTCTTCTGCTTCAGTGGAAACTGCTCTCCTTGTTGACTGATGCAAAGCTCCCCCTGTTCCTCTTTAATCTGTGGAGGCTCTTGATCCTTCTGGTCCAGAATGGAGCTCTTTTCCAGGTCACAGGGCTGCTGGTCAGTGAGAAAGTCCTCTTTATTACAGACGTATTGCTGTGGGAAGTCTGGAGGTACAAAGTGACAAAAAGTCAAGACTTTAAAAAAAAAAAAAAAAAATTATACACCTTTAAAAGAAAATGTAAAAGGCTAATTATACTGACACTGAATGCAATAATACCTTAAAATCTGACACTTGGCTTTTTGTTCCAATTGTCTTTCCAACAAAGCAAAGTAATATAGTTCTTCATACAAAAAAAGCGTCCAAAGAGGGCACTAAGAAAAAAGGGACCTCCAGACAGTGGTGGATCCAAACTGTTTTAATAGTGCTGGCCAGGCTGATAGGATTTCTCATATCGAGGTGGCACAATGTCTCATTATTTTTTGGTTTTGTTTTAAGCAAACAGTGTTATTCTATATCAACTGTGTCTGCCTCCAGACCACAGAGAATAAAATTAACAGAAGAGGAGCTGTTCATAACCACCTTATTAAAATTAATACAACTTCATCAGAAGCAAAAAAAACAAACAGGACAATTAAATGTGGCTTTTTAAATATTAGATCTCTGCCATCTAAATTAGTTAATGATCTGATAACAGATTATCACATTGACTTACTGTGTCTGACTGAAACCAGGCTGCAGCATGAAGAATACGTCAGTCTAAATGAATCAACTCCCCCAGTCATATTAATTTTCATATAATTAGAAGTACAGGCATGAGGGGGAGGAGTGGCAGCAGTCTTCCACTCAAACTTATAAATCAACCAGAGACCAAAACTTAGTAAGATTTCATTTGAAAGCCTTAGTCTTACTTTCACTTACTTGAATTGTAAAACACACAAACCAGTTCTGTTAGTTGTTGTTTACCATCTGCCCCTGACTCTGAGTTTGTATCTGAATTCTCAGAGTTCTTAGCTGATTTAGTGCTCAGTACAGATCCAGTCATTATAACAGGTGAATTTATCAGATAGATGTAGACGATGAGAATGACAGCCTCAACCATGCAGTTAGTTTGTTGTTAGACTTGTTGTTAGTTTGTTGTTTTTTCCCCAAAATCTCAATAAACCAACTCATAGTTTTAAGCACACTCTTGATCTTGTTTTGGCATAGAAATCGAACATCTTACGGTTTTTCAACAACACCCTCTTTTGTCTGATCATTTTTAATAACACTTGAATTTGCATGACTAGACTATGGAGCATCTACCAAGAAGTTCCATTACAGCAAAATGTTCATCTGATAATGCAGTAACTAAATTTAAGGAAATTATTCCATTACTATTTACTTTTCTGCCATATGTCAACAATCGAGAGCAGCTCCTCTCACGTTGGCTAATCTCATTGATAGAAGTGCAACTTTACTGTGGACATGACTCGACACTGTTATCCCTCTGAAAAACAAAGCAATAGCTGATAATAAAATAGCTCCATGGTAAAATGAACAACTGCACATCTCAAAGGCACAAAGGCAGTGGCATTCCACAAATTCAGAGGAACTTCATCTAGCCTGGAAAGACAGTTTTATCACACATAAAAAAGTGATTCATAGGAAAAGAACTGTTTATTAATCATCATTAATAGAGGAAAACAAGAACAACCCCAGGTTTCTTTTCAGCACTGTAGCCAGGCTGACAAAGAGTCACAGCTCTGCGGAGCCTTGTGTTCCTTTAGCTCTCAGTAGTGAAGATTTTATGACCTTTTTCACTGATAAAGTTTTGAACATTAGACAAAAAAACCCCAGAACATATCTTTAGGTGCAGCAGTTCTGGAAGCATCCACAGGACACGATTTATATTTGGACTTCTTCTCTGCTGTAAATCTCTCAGAGCTCATGTCAATAATAAATCTCCGGGGGGATCTCCGGCAGAACCAGGGAAGGGGAACACGGCCATCTGCCTCGACCGGTTGGGTGACAGTGGGGATGGGGGGGGGAAAACATGACAGCAGATGGAGAGCAGCAATAGAACAGAACAATGAATATGAATGTATCAGCTCCGCTTAAAACCTTCCTCTTTTAAAGCCTATAGTTTGGGCTGCTCAGGATCACCTGAACTGTCCCTTAGTTATGCTGCTTGAGGTTTAGACTGCCGGGGGGATTCCCATGATGCACTGGGTTCCTCTCCTCTACTCTCCTCTCTCTTTCTTCCGTACAGTTATATATCACTAACTCTGTGTTTCCCCCCTGAGGTCCTGTGTTTGTTCTCTCTGCAGACGTCTCTGGATCTGGAGCTGCACGTCTCTGATCTGCAGCTGCCGGCCTCACCAACCTCCAAAATGTTCATTGTTCTGTTTGTGTTGCTGCTCTCCATCTGCTATGCTGCTATCCCCCCACCCTCCTCATCCCCACTCTCACCCCAAATGGTTGAGACAGATGGCCGCCTTCCCTGACCTGGTTCTATCTGAGTTTTTTTTTCCTCCCTGAGGGTTTTTTTCTTTTCTTTTTCTTTTTTTTTTTTTGGGGGGGGGGATCCACATACAATTATGGATTACTGGGGTCTCTGTTCTTTGTTTAAATTCATAAGGTAACTTTGCAAAGTGCTATGAGATGACATGTTGTGACTTGGTGCTACATAAACGGAATTCATTTTTTGGTTATTATCTTCGATAATTGGCGTATGCAGGCAAGACTGCCTTGTGTTAATACATGAGCAGTCCTACATAGTATACCAAGACTTGTTATCTTTTCAATTCAATTCAATTTTATTTGTATAGCGCATATTTACAACAACAAGTCATCTCATAGCGCTTCACAAAGGCAGAGACAGAAACACCCAACAATCCAAAACATCTGGATTCCCTATAAGCTTCAGCAGTCCGCAACAGTGGGAAGGAACCGAAAACCCCACAGGGGAAAAAAAACCTCCGACAGAACCAGGCTCAGGGAGGAACGGCCATCTGCCTCGACCGGTTGAGTGAATGTAGGATGAATTATACAATGTAGTTTACAGTTAAACAAGTTATTAGAATTTATTGTCCTTTTGTAACAGGAGGCATCATGGTGGGGGGAGCAGGTTAATTAAAAATGTGGAAGGGTAACTAGAATTATACGTTTTTTGTTGAGAACGTATTTTCACTATTTTTCTGTTTTTTCCAGAAATTACGCTGTAGAGGTCCATTAGAACAGCTTTAATACGCATTAGTCTAGTTTATTTGTGATCAATAACTGCATATGCACCAGTTTCATTCTGTGGCCCTAGAATAAACGCAGCTCAGAGCTCTGATTAGGATTCTACATGAGTCCTATTCATCAGTTCGTTTATTGAGACCATCACAGTTTACATACCTGTTGTCTGTATCGTTATCTGTGGTTTCCAGATGACATCCAGCAGTCTGCGCTGACGATCGATCTCTTCCTCGCACTGGACGATGGTTTTTTCAAACTCTGTGAATATTTCTTCAGCAGCAGCAGTTAGTCGCTCGTTTATAAACCCACTCAAATTCTGAACTGAACTCATTGTTACTTCAGCGGTTAAAACATTGACCCGAGACTCGACAACACAACCGTCCTCAACCTCGACGCATCCATAAAGCTAACGCTGCTAACCCTGCTAACCCTTTTGTCATTGTTTACTTCCGCAGGATGTCTTCTTCTTCGTTGGTGGTTAGTAAACGCGCTACAAGACGCATCCTCGCCACCTGCCGGACATCGCAGACGGTTGCATTGAGCCTCATATCGAACACCGTAAAATACAGTTTTCACAAGATATACAGCAGCCACTTATAAACTGGGACAACTGGTTTCCAGTAGGTTAACTAGAGTTCTGTTAGTTAAACTGAGAGCTACAACTGCAACTATATTCCACAAATGCTGTGGTAATTTCTTTAATGAAGTGAATTCCCACAAAGCAATCGTCGTTAAACATTTTATTATCAGTTCATTGCATGCATACAAAGTTTATTTTTCTGTAAGATCAGAGCAAAGTTGTTTTTTTCCCCCAAAAAGAGCATATACTATCTTATCAGTAGGCTTATCTCTAATACTCCTCATGAGAGACAAATCTACTGATAAGAAAATAGGTTTGCAAGAGGTTTTGTCTAGCTGGAGCCTATCCCAGCTGACTTCACGACTGTGTGGCTTCTGACTCGTGTGATCAGCACCCAACGTCCTGTTTCTTTTTAGTCACACTTTGTATTAGTGTTGTTCTACAGTCACACAGACTTTCACTGGTAAAATTTTGAGTGGCTGACTCGACCAGCTGTAAAAATACAGAAATAGTGTTTGACTGAACGTGCGTGTGTTAAAGTCTGTATGTGAGTGTTCGTATCAGGATCAGAGAACGACAACTTTCGTTTGTTCGAGACCAGATTCACTCTGACCCTCTGGAGTTTTTTCTTCAGGGGGAGAACACTATCTGGATATGATGAGGAGAGTACTCTGTATTCACCCAAAAAAAAACAAACATATTGCCCATAATCCAGACTACAGGACCAACCTAGTTCACATACTAATATACTAAAGTAGAATCACATTTAATATAAAATTTAATTGTTCAAAAGCACAAAATCTGTGTAAACATGGTGTTCTTACATTTTGCCTTTCCAAAGCTTTGTTTCTAGAATAAATACATGAGACTAGAAAAAATATTTTTCAAAATTTATTAGTGTCACCTCTAAATTGTGAAACTGGAAAATGCATGGAAATATAAAATATCTTCAACAAACACAAGAACAAACTTCATCGCATAAGTGCCATTTGTCAAATAAGTTTACATCACATCAAACGAAGGAGGTGACAGGAAAATGTAAGTTTGTGTCACTCTGGCAAAGAATAAAACCTGGAGGAGTTGCTTTTTCACAACATAATAATGATACAGATAAAAGTTGATGGCCTGTCTCTCCTCTCAGGCTTCTTTTCAATTTACATGGTAGCACCAAGAGTCTATAGAGGCATTCCCAGAATTTAAAAAAAAAAAAAGTTTTGAGACTTGTAAATATGGGAAAACTATCTCATAATTTGAGCGATAACGTACAATACACTGATGGTACAGGAGTTGGAGCACTTCCAAATTTGCCTGACAATCCTCACAGGATCATTGCTGAAGCACAGTCCAAAGGCGCTTTAAAAGTAAACCTACCTTTAACCTGAACAAATTCTTACACGTTTACTCAAGCTTGGGTCTCAGACACCTTTTCCTCACAGATGTTTCAGGACAACAACCTCTCATCTGTGTGAGTTCTCATGTGGGCAACCAAATTACCACTTCGACTAAAACTTTTCCCACAGGTTTTGCAACAATATCGCTTCTCACCTGTGTGAGTTCTCATGTGGACAGTCAAATTCCCACTTTGAGTAAAGCTTTTCCCACATGTATTGCAAGAATAAGGCTTTTCACCTGTATGGATTGCCACATGCCTTTTAAATGCTGATAAGACGGTAAATCTTTTCCCACACGTGTTACAAAGGTGCGGCTTCTCACCTGTGTGGCTTCTCATGTGGACAGTCAAGCTGTCACTACTTCTGAAACTTTTCCCACAGGTTTCACAAGAGAATGGCTTTTCACCTGTGTGGATTCTTTCGTGATATTTCAGCAAATACATCTCATAGAATCTTTTACCGCATGTTTCACAAGCGTACGGTGTCTCACCTGTGTGAGTTCTCATGTGGACTTTAAGGGCAGCGCTATAACTGAAGTTTTTCCCACAAGTGCTGCAAGCATATGGCTTCTCACCTGTGTCAGTATTAAAGTGACTCTCTGATGAGGGAGAGTTTTCTACATTGTTGTTGTGAGTCACCATAAAGCTATCAGTCTCCTGCTTCAGTGCAAGCTGCTGTCCCTCCTGACTGGTGCAAAGTATCTGCTCTTCTGCCTTAATCTGTGGAAGCTTTGGGTCCTCCTGATCCAGACTGGTGCAGAGCTCCTCCTGTTCCTCTTTAATCTGTAGAGGTTCTGGCTCCTCCTGGTCCAAATTGGTGCAGAGTTCCTCCTGACTCTCTTTAAACAGTACAGGTCCTGGCTCCTTTTGGTCCAGACTGGAGTTAATCTCTAAGTTACAGAGCTGTAGGCCAGCAAGAACCTCATTCTCTTTACAGACATAATGCTGTGGGAGGTCTGGAGGGCCAAAGGGACACAAGAAAAACGTTACTAATGTGATGAGAGAAAAACAAACATTTGAGAAAATATATTCTAGTTTAAACCATTAACAGGTCTCTACAGTATGAGAGTATCACTCACGTATGTAAGTGAAATTTAACCTGTGCAAATGTGACAAATTATTTTGGTGCACCTGTGTGTGTGGCTCATAACTTCTAACACTTTTGCTAGAAAAGTTCATTGCACAAAACATTTAGATATCGGCTTCCAGCAGTGTGTGCTGATCAATACTGCTGTTGGTTAAAATGACAAACCGAAGGTCAAATCAGCTGTCGTTCACTCTCAGTAAGTCCATGACTTAAATTGATTTATTACTAAGGACTTACAGCTACAACACAGCAGCAGGACTGATATGAGTGCCTCTAAATCAGGGGTGT